AGAGGTTGTGGCTCAGTTTTTCCAGCCAATGACCCCAAGGTTTACTCCAACTGAATATGATATAATTTTTTTTTTGGCCAAGTGGAGTTCCTAAAACACATATGTACCCTGATTCCAGAGCTGGTGACAGCCATTCTTTGATGGTTGATATTTTTTTTCCTGCTGACTAGACTGTGGTACCCATATATTTAGTCAAATACTATTTATGTTTTGGGACACTCTATTTTGGATAAAATTCAATTCAAAATCCATAAGTTTTTTTTATAAAATTATAGCCCTTCATAATATAACTAGGCCTTAGCCAAGAAGCTCAAGATTTTGTGAAAAAGATTGATCATGTTTGAAAAAGTGGGAAGCCCACCAACCGGCTGCCTTTGGATTTGAACTACAACTCTTTCATGGCTCTCAATCTGGCTGACATACACTATAGACTCTAGACATACCAGATCCTGTAATCATGTGAACCAATTCCTGAAGATCTATCATATGTTTATCACCTGTCTATTCACCTGTCCATGCATCCATCCATCCATGCATTGATCCATCCATCCATCCTTGCATCCATCCATGCATCCATGCATCTATCCATCCATCCATCCATCCATCCTCTATTCTGTTAATACTGTTTCTTCTCTCTCCCTGAAAAGCACTGACTGAAACAACCACTCATATCAGATAGTCATGGAGAGAGGAGATGGGCGGCTTTTCCAGAACCACCTTGGAAATCCTGTTACTAGGAATGAGGAGAAGAGATATAGGGTGAAAAAAAGAAAGAAAATAGGCAAGGATGTTCACTATGGTTGGAAACTATTAAATCAGCTTATTGCTATTTAGTCAAAGCAGTTTGGCTAACAATAAGATTTTAAAACTCTCCCCATTGAGGAGAGAACAAAAATATTTCCAACAGTAAAGGCTGATGGGTTTTTAATCTATTAAGTTTTTTATGAAGGCAGACGTATATGTGAGTGATATGTAAAATATTTAGAAGCAGTTATCTTTACAGTAAAAATGTACTTTAGCTTGCATGGTATGGCTTGAGTAAGATAGTATGACTGTACAAAATGCTCCCCACATCCACTGGAGTGCCTGAAACCATATTACAGAATGCATTTGTTAGAGGTGTGAACAAAGTTCAGTAGGTAAGATTACTTGCTATGCAAGCATGAATCCCTGAGTTTAGATAGCCAGCATCCAACAGAAAAGTCAGGTATGGCCATCTTCTTTTAACTCCAGGTGAAGTGGGGACAGAAACAAGATTTTTTGGGCTTTCTGAGCCTCCAGCCAGGCTAGGTAACAGAACATCAAGCTCCTGGTTCAAAGAGACAACCTGTCTCGGGGAATAAGGCAGAGAGTAAAAGAGAACACTGTGGCACGCATGGGCACACATGGGCACCCATTTCATTCACACAAATCATTTATTTATTCCCTTTTTTTCACTTGAAGGCATGGTGACTCTTCAAAATGTACTGGCAGAAAAGAAATAGCCTTTATAAAGACTGTCTTAGCTTGCTTTCGGTTGCTGAAATAAAATGTTGATCAACAGCAATTTAGGGAGAAGGTTTACTTCATCTTACATATTGCAACTCCCAGATCACAATCTATCACTGAGGAAAGTCGATGTGAGAACCTGGAGCAGAGGCCAGGAAAGAGCACTACTTACTTGCCTTCTTAGTTTGCCTTCTTATATAACTCAGAGCCTTCTGCCTAGGGGTGGCACTACCCACAGTGGGCGGGGCCCTCCATGTCAATCAGCAATGAGGAAAATGCTTCCACAGACGTGCCCACAGGATATCTAATGGAAACAGTTCCTCAATGGAGAGTCTCTCTTCCCAGGTTGCTCTATTTGTGTCAAGTTGATAAAAATTAACGAGTGCAAATATCCAAAGTACTCCACTCAGAACATCAACGTTCAAGAGTTACTCATTCAATATATACTCCTCAAAAGTTCTGTAAGAAAAACTTGGGGCACAGCGGGAATGATCACTCCTTAGACAATAACAATACCTATTAACATATTAAAGACTATGAGAAGTCACAGATTAAGAAATTCTAAACACTTTTTTACCTTACTATTATTGTGTGTGTATGCTTGATGTGCTTACCATGGTTCACACATGTGGAGGTCAGATGACACCCTTTGAGAGTTAGTTTTCACCTTCAGGTGTGGGTTCTGAGGATAGACTTCAGGTTGTCTGCCCTTCCTGGCCAGCACCTTTAAAGTAAGTTTATAATCGCTCACCCTGCCGAGTTGTAAAGTATTAAGAAAGACTGAATCGAAAGTGAAAGTTGCTGACTGATACTCAAGGGCTGTTGGCTTCATCAAGTGCCATTTTACCAAGCGTGCTGTGCTCCCCACAACCCGTCCCTTTCCCTTCTTTCCTCTTTTCTTTCTGTTTTTGCCGGGAATGCTTTATTTCAAATGCTCTCTCCTTCCTTCCATTTTCAGAATAGTGGTAGGCCGGCACAGCCTAAGGCACCTTCAGGACACTGGTAACCTCCAGGAAGATGATGCAAGATGGGGGTGGGAGAGGGAGGGAGGGAGGAGGGGTAGGGTGTGGGTATCAATGCTGAGACACCTGCTAAACAGAGTAAAGGAACACAAACAGGAAGGAGGGTGACAGCCCAGAGTCAGAGCACTAAAGACAAATTAAGAAGAAAATGCAGCAGGATGTTTTCCCCCACCTCCTCTCAATGTAGGCATGTGCGCATGCATGTGTGTGTGTTTGTGCATGCGTATGTACATGCATGTGTGTCTGCGTGTGCATGCAAACGTGTGTGCATGTGCGTGCGTGTGTGTGTGTGTGTATTTGCATGTGCGTGTTTGCGTGTGAGTGTTCTAAATTAAATGAATCCTCCAGAGAAGAGAAGAGGTGGAAATATGAGGTGAGCACTCAGGGAGTTTTCAAACATTCTGACCAGTAGAAGTGGAGTCCAGGAACCACTTCCTGACCGGGACCTTTGCGTGCTGCCCTTGAACAAACTCACTTTATAGAACTGTGGGTCGAGACCCCGTGGGGTCACATAGCAGATATCCTGCAGATCAGGTATTGACATTACAATATGTAACAGTAGCAAAATTACAGTTATGAAGTAGCAGGGAAATAATTTGATGATTGGGAGGTCACCACAAGGCGAGGAACAGTATTAAAGGGTGGAGCAGCATTAGGAAGGTTGAGAACTACTGTCCTAGAACACTCACACAACACTAAAGTGCTATCTATGTTTCCAAAATAATAGGGACGTTGAGCTGTGTTAATTAACTAGAGCAATAAAGAATGACAAGAATTGATTTTTTTTTCCAAAGAAAATTGGTCAGGAAATAATCAATGACAAAATGAGGAAGTAGTAGCAATGTGTACTACAGCTAGCTGTGTGAGGTTTTTCCCTCTTAATCCTGATTACCGCCCATCCCCCCCAGTCCTTGTCTCCTCCTCCCTCAGTTGCTCCCCAACTGCCCTTCCATTCAGGCACTCCTTTTTTATCATTAGAAAACAAACAGACTTCTAAAGGATAATAAGAAAATGAAATACAAGATAAAAAAAACCCTAACACTCTGAAATTGAACAAAACAATCAAACAGAAGGATTAAAAGGCCAAAGAGAAGCCCTAAGAAGAGGCCCAAGTCATTTGCACACTCAGGAAACCCATACAAACACTAAACTGGAAACCATAATATATATGCAGAGGACCTGGTGCAGACCGGAGCAGGCCCTGAGCATGCGGCCTCCGTCTCTGAGCTCATATGAGCTTTGCTCATGTTGGCTTAGAGAATCTTCTTTTCTTTGTGTCCTCCATCTCTTGTGGCTCTTCTTCCTCCCCTTCCACTGGGTTCCCTGAGCTCTGGGGGGAGGGACTTGATGGAGACATCTCATGTAAAGCAGTGTTCCTGGGTCTCTGTATTTGCTCCCATCTGCTACAGGAGGAAGCTTCTCTGACGATGACTGAGTAAGGCCCTGATCTATGAGTGTAGCCGAATAGCCTTAGGAGTCATTTTATTGAAATGTTTCTCTTTTTAGAGCAGTGTATTTGGTTTTACCCTAGGGCCTTGGGCTGTCTAGTCTCTGACTCTTGGTCACCCAAGCAGTGTCAGATATGTGTTTCATCTTGTGGAAAGGCCGAGAGTCAAACCAGGTAGTGGTTAGTTAATCTCACAAACTTTGTGCCACTAGTACACCCTGCAGGCAGAACGCCATTTTTTATGTCTATGTATCTATCTATCTATATATATATGCATATATATATATATGAATGCTTCTTCTGTAACCAGTTTTCATATTACTTCCCAAATAGCAGTTAATTTTAGCTGTCTCCCTCTCGATTTCCTCAATTCTCCTTCTTTTCCCTCCCAACTTGATCCCTCTCCCCCCAGTCATAACTATCGGTTCTATTTCTCCTTCCTGACAAGATCTATCCTCCCCCGGCCCCCAGTCCCTTACGCTATACCTAACTTCTGTGGCTCTACTGATTCTCGCTTGGTTATCATTGTCTTCACAACAGCTGTGTGATTGGTCATCAATCATTTCGGTTTATTCTCCACTTGGGAAACGCAACCAAGATGGGCTTTCCCTCATGATCCCACAGCCCAGTATCTCTACCTTCTATATGGTGATTGTCACTCCATGCACTATTCATGGACTCCGTGGAAGGACCCTGCCTCATCAGGATTCCAGTGTCTGTACCTCTGCTATGGTTATTACCATTCTGTCCACTATTCAACTGGTCCAGGAGCCTCAACAGTCCAGTCACTGACAAAGTACTGAAGGCTGAGTGAGCGGCAGGTTGGTCTTTGTCTCCAGGTCCAATTCCCTCAGGAGTTCTTTCCAGGGTTCAAGGGCAACAGGAGCAAAGGCTCTCACTTGAACTGGGGCCGTGCCTGTGGAAGCACCCAGGATGGGGAATGCCCGGTTGTGCAATCAACCCCTTCTCTGACTACTCCCCCCTCCCGCCCCGCCCCAGTGAGTTGGTGAATCAGTGGATTTTCCCCGACCCCAGAAGACTTCCTTCCAAACGCTGGGGCTTTACATAGGTTGTGTCTGGTCCCTCAGAAAACGGACATACAGGTGTTGAAAGGGGTTTCTGCCAGAGCTCAGGGAAGCCGTTTGAGAACTACGTTCTGGCACGCCAGGGGCGGGGCCCAGGCAAAGTACAGTCCCAGAGACCGTCTAGAGCAGAGAGGGTGGGGACTGCCCGCGTAAGTGACTCACCCTGCTGAGAGGTGGAGACTTAGGCTGGCTTTCCCTCCCTCACGGCACCGAAATGCTATGGATCTGGGCTGTCCTCTTTCTGGTAAGCTTCGGGACACTTGGGATATGGGACGCTGCCCATTGTGTACCACCGCGCCGTAATCCAGATGCGGCTAGCATTGCATGATGGCCACCTCATTCCGTCCAGATGTTCAGAAAGGCGGGGGAGCTGCTTGCTTTCTTGGCTCAGTGCTCTGGGCTGAATCCTGGGCTCAGACCCTGCAGCTCGAGCGTTTTTTTCTGGGAAGAGTATGAGTGCCGAACGGCCAGAGCTTGGCGCTGGCCGAGTCTTCAAAGTCTTTGGCATGGCTGGAGAGGGACTCGGGTCGAGAGATATGCCCAGGCAGAGATCCATTTTGTGGCAGGAGAGGAGTTCCCTCCGAGGCTGTGTGGCACGAGTGGGCTTGGCACTTCTGACAACTGGTTCAAGCGGGAAAGTGAGCCGACTCTGGGCTGTGGTTACAACCCAGGAGTCAGAAGGCACCATTTCTGAAAGTAACTTTAAGAAAGTTACTTTGGATTAATAAACTTAATACGTCTCTGAAGATTTGTTTACGCTCTTGTGATAACACGGAAAAAACAAGCAAACCGATTTTCTTCCCTTCCGGGAATTCATGTGTGAAACTGTGGGTGACTGGACTACTGGCTATTTTTATGTTGTTGGTTTGCCCTGTTTCTTCTCTTACTTGCGTTTTGCTAGCTCTCCACGACAAGTTTGTCCCGGTAACCCTTGGGCTCTGGGTCTCAGCCCGGTGTCTGCCGCAGCCTCAGGAGTAAGAACCCTCCAGTCCTTTGCTTCTCCAGGAGAGTTCCTACTCAGACGAGCTAGCTTGATAATGGCAATCAAAGGGATTCTACCTGGGATGGGGGGGAGGGGCTCATCCTGTTCTGAGTTTAGACAAATTGTCTTATTGGGCCCCTAAAATCTCCGGAGTACAATGATCTGAAATCGGTTTTCACGGCAGTGGAGGAAGGAGGAAGACAACCTCTGCTCAGCCTCTGCTCGCTTTTACAAGTGGAAATGAAGTTCAGAGAGCTTAAACACCGCAGAGATAGTACAGCTAGTAGGTGGCAGCGCTGACCTGGAACTCAGCTTGAACGCCAAGGCACAAGCAGTTTGTGTATAAACTGAAGACATGCGTACTTCATGACATGGTTAGGGGAAGGTTTTTGTTGTCGTTGTTGTTATTGTTGTTGTTGTTGTTGTGTGTGTGTGTGTGTGTGTTTTACTATAGATATGAGAAAGAGAAAAACCAGAGGTCTGAACAGAACATCGAGAGAACAGAGAGAACAGCAGGATCATCAGGGGAGGGAAGCCTGTGAGCCTGAGGGAGTTTAGGCTAGGGGAGAAGGTGAGAGGGGCTAGGATGCTAGCATGGACTTTGGAATGTGTAACAGGCAGATACCTTGTCCTTGGCAGGGCATGCCTAAAATTGAAATCCGCCAAGGCCTTTTTCTAGCCGCTTTTCCACAACCTGATTTACTGACTCCTCTCTCTGCCCTAGACCTTGTTGATTGACCCCTGGAAGGGACATACGAAAGCAGATGTCTGCATGAAGGTTTCCCATCCCTAGTTTTTCTGGATTCTAAGTCCACGCTTGGAATCTGATGGGATTGTATATCCTGGGTTAGCAAACTTATCTTTGAGGGGTTCAAGTTCCGAGTGACAGTCCTCCTGTCCTCAGCCTAGGTGGCCTTTCTCAGGACCCCACCAGGTACTCTGACAGCAGGCAGGGTGCTGATGAGGACTGGACAGAGTTCCCTTCCAGACAGATCCCAGGGTCTGGGCAGGGGTCTTCTGTATCTAAACCAAGACTCCTGCCTGGAACTGGTGGGCAGGGCCAGAGGTGGGTGACGGCAGGACTCCCTTCACAGGTCAATGCCGGTCTACGGCTTGGCGGACTTCCTGTGCTGTAAGCGTGCTATAAATTTTTAAATTATCAACGCTTTTCGTTACAAATTTTAAGTTAACTTTTTGTTACATAGTTTACAAGTTTTGTTTTGTTTTATTTTTTTTTCCACACCCAGTCACCCAGTGAATTTACAAATCCTGAGATACAGGGAGTTGTTTCGAGAAGCGAAGTATGAGTAAAGGAACAATGAGCCGCACTGGGAACAGCTTATGTTTCGACTGTTTTAAAGCACAGTGTCTTTTCCTGTGTTATTCTGTTTGGCTGTCCTTCTTCAGGTCACAAAGGCCAGTGACCCTACCTGACCCAAGACAGATTTTGTAGGAAACTTTTAAACAATCATTCTTAGACCTGGAGAGAAAGGCCATAACCAAACTCCAGAACTGGAATTTTTTAAAAATAAATCAGAAAAGCATCTGATAATATTCAAATATCCACACACACAAGGCATTTGATTCTCTGTAAAACTAAATTTTGCCATCAGAGGGAAAGACTAGAGCAGACAGAGCAAAGAAGGCTCAGAGAGACGAGCGGGGAGCAGAGAAGGCTTAGAACTAAGAGACTTATTTTGAGAGTGGAGAGCAGAGAAACTTTATGGATAAGAGATTTGGAGATCATTTGTTTGTGCGGTGGCAGAAGTTGTTACCATGTGTGAAAATTTGGAAATCTAGTGTACCACGTTTGGCCATTGAGATGTACTGAGGCCAAGCCATTTGCAGTAAGACAGTGAGGCTTAATGGCATCTCTGAGTCCGTGGAAGAAAAAAGATGAGAGAAGAGGTGAAGGAGAAGGAGGAAAATTCTGAATGGGAAGAACCCATAGAGAGAAAGAGAGAGAGAGAGAGAGAGAGAGAGGAGAGAGAGAGAGAGAGAGATTCTTTAGAAACACAGTGAAGAGCAGGTAGGAAAGACTTAAGAAACTCCACCAGAGGGAAGATTCCGTTATCTTAGAGGCCCCGGAGAGCATAGAAAAATGCCTGATGTACCTTGCAGGTCTCCTACAGCAGACACCAGTGAGCCAATGAGAAGTACAGAGACAGAGTAGGAAGCTTCATGGGGAGATGAGACGAGACAAATAGTTAGCTGTGGCTAGAGACTGAGTTAGTTTCAGGATGAAGTTGAGAGACAGAGTTAGCAAGGAGAGAGCAAGGATTAGAGTGAGGAGATGGACAAGAGAGACAGAGCAAGCTCCAGGAGGTAGCTGAGACCATCTCGGGAGGGAGAGAAAGAATGAGAGAGAGAAAGTGACAAAAATTTCAATCTAGGGCATCCCCAAGTGGACTGAGAGACTTGCCAGGGAGAAATGTCCAAAATCATAGAGGATCTATGCATCATGGACTGAGATCCCAATAGCGAGAGAGAAGCTGCCTGACACACTAGCATGACTTTTGTGACAGTGGTAGTCTCTAGGAGCTGACAGAGACAGAGCAGGTAGCTCTAAGGAGAGAACAGGAGGGGGTGAGAAGCAGCTGGAGAGGGATGGTGGGCATTAGGAGTCAGAAGAACCAAATTTTCCATACCTTAGCAGAGTCAAGTCAGCAGCTTGATTCGGAGAGGCCAGGCACCTTGGAAAGGGGTCTCTGTGTGCCACTCCCAGGTGGTACATACAATGTGCATGCATGATGATATGACCGATTCATAGTATGGCTAAGGGGAAGGTTTTTTAATTGTAGTTATGAGAGAAAGAACAGTCAGAGGCATCTGGAAGAGTCAAGAGCAGAGAGAAAGAAGTAGACTGGGCATGGCCAGCAGTCTGGATATGGCCAGGGGTATTTGGGAGAAAGGGGGAGAATAACAGGGGGGAGGGGCTAGAGAAAGGACAGCAAGAGAAGCGGGAGCAGAGGTGGGGCAGCACACAGCAGGCATAGCAGGGCTATAAGGGGAATGAGTGCTGTGGGAAGGGAAGCCCATGAGCTAGAGGGAGTTGAGGGTAGGGGAAGAGGTGAGAGGAGCCAGGATGCTAACGGTATTTGTGACCCCAGCATGTACTATGTCACACTGGTAGGCCTTCTGCCAGAGGTAAGGGAAATTGGCTCCTTTTGGCTGCCTTTTTATCTAACTCCCAGAAATCCTTCTATAGTCCAGATTGAACTCTATAGTCCAGATTGAACTCATTTATGGATATTTATACTGCCTTTTGGAGTTTGAGGAATTGAAGTTTCTTTTGGACTAGACAGTTTGCTGGTTGCATCTGATATCCAGAGTATACCAAGAGTAGAATGGCAAAAGCTCTTATAACTGGGATCTTATGAAGGAGTGAGACAAGATCCCTTTGATTCTTTAAGAAGTAGTGTATCATATTTGGCCTCCAAAAATGTCTTTAGGTTGTCTTAAGATTCTCCTCACTGCAAACTCCATGGTCATCCATTGCTGCAGTGCGGGTGACTTGGAAACAATCTCGGTTCTCAGCTGTTTGCCAAAAGCCTGGAGCTGTGCTCAACTTAGGTATAGCATTGTCTTTATCACAGGATGTTTGCCTCCAGAAGCCGAGAAACAGTCTTCCTAAAAGAATTCACACAATACAAGTATGCACATATTAGTATTTATACACATACTAGTACATAAAAATTAGAATTAAGAATAATTTGTATTTATGATTTCTGGCCTAGGAAATTAAAATTTACTAAATAATGTTATAAAGGCAGGGGAGTAAAATTGTAATAATAACCGTGTCACCTACATAATCATTACTGCATTTCATAGTGTCTTCCATCCACCACACGAGACTCCCAAGCTTCCTTACTTAGAGCCTGGCCTTGTCCAACCTCAAGCTCCCATTATTCTAGCCTTGTATCACCCCGTGTGTCCCCTAAAATATTCCTTCCCATGTAATAGGGCTTCCTCGGTTGTAGCATAAGTGAAATAGAGGCAGACTGAATTGGAACAGAAAAAGAAGTTTGGTTAAATACAGGGAATTTTCAAGCAGTAGATTTGGGGATGGGTTTTCCTTTTCTCCCTTCCCCAAGTCCTTCTGTCTTCAGTACCATTTACAGACACCGCAACTAGCCCCTTCTTTGCCTCTCTTTCTTCTCTCTACTTCTTAGAGACCCTTTTCCTGTCTTATTTTCTGGAAATTTTCTTTGTACAAAAAGTAAGTCTGAAGTCCCCAAACCTTCACACATTTTTAGAGGCAA